AATAATTAAAAAAAAAAAAAAAAAAAAAGATGGAGCGACCCCTACCAGATTCAGAAACCAGAGGGCAAAAGGAAATTTCCAAGAAATTATCGCAGCCAGGTGATGTTGAATTCGCGTGGAAAGGATAAGAGTTCGAAGATAAAGGCGACGATAACCTAACCGAAGAGGTAAGGAAATTGTGTGAAAAGAAGAAACGTGGAGAGAATTGATTGGATGTTGACGTAACACCGATCGTTTTCTTTTCCGTCCGTGACCGTTATGTAGAATTTAATCTCTTGCCGTATTAATTCCGTTGGGGAATGCACTAAAATGACTGCGAAGTTACTCACAGACAGATTACAGGTTTCCGGCATTAAACGTGGCGGATTCTGAGTGGCTTTGGTTGGTGGAATTAATACAAATGTGACCGTTAGACATCTTCCAGAATTGGACGGTGTGGATTTTACGTCTCATTGTTGAATAATTAAAGGGCAATAGAAGTAAAATGTTGACCAATTAAATCCTATTTCAAATTGATGTTTTTATTACCTAATTACTTATAAAAATTTAAGATATTTTGTTCAAAATTTTTATGGTGCAGTGATGTTGACGGAGACGGAGATGGAGAACGCAAGAAGGAGAAGCGTTCATTGTCCCCGTCAACTACCTCCTAGTTCAACCTTAATTCCTGCCGATATAATTTCTATCAACATATAAATATAACGTGAGGCGAGGCAGAGTCAGGGACAAGAAATATAATCTCGATCTCTGACCTCATTTAGCTCATTATGTATCGCTGTCAACCTCACGGTTTTAAAACGCATCTACTTGGAAGAGGTTTCCATACCTTATAAGAAATATTTACCGATGTGAGATCTCACAACTGACGTGAAAAAGTCTCTCCCACTATTTTTAAATGGAAATTTTTGGACGGATCCCAAAGATTAAATGAACATCTCGACGTGTGCCTAAATTATTTATTCTCTTTTGTTCTTTTAAATTCTATTTATTATTATATAATGTATTACTATCAAGGTGTACTTCTAATTATAATAGATAAAAATAGAATTAAAAGTTTTATATATACTGATATAGATTGAATTCCACATTTACGATGTTTTTTTTAATCACACAAAATCAAGAAAACCGACCAAACGACTCACGTTCACCCTTAGAAGTATGCACCTCTAGATACTAGTTTGGTCTCGTTTTACAAAAATCAAATGGTTCAATTTAGTTCTCGATCGGAATCAAAACCGACCGAGCCAAACTCATGCTCACCCTCAACGCGTGCTCTATAGATTTACCAATTGCATGCAAATTAGCGACTCTTGGCTTCACTAACATGTAGCATTTATAGAAAACGTGCTTCACTATCGACATTTTCAAATACATTAACCATCATAAACTAGCCAACACGAGCATAACTCATCTAGCATAAAACATGTATCAACGGCCAAAAGATCAGAAATTCGAATTTTCTACCTCATATATTCTAAAAAAGAAATAATATAAAAGAATTATAGACGAGATAACCTCAAATTTGTCAATAAATATATCGACTTAACGTCGAGAATGTCGATAACACTTGGGATCCATCTCTGCAAATGGATGCATACAGAGTTAGCAGCCACAAAGTAATTCAAATCTTCTTTATAAATCAGACCGACAACACTCCATAAAGTTGCTCCAAGCAAAGTGCTTGAAAGAACAATGTATGGCGGCAGATAAACCAAAGGATCGATCCTTTCAGAAGCATCAATAGCCAGCTTAGGATGAAACTTCGAGCAGCCTAATGTAAACAATTTGGATACTCACAGGGCTAAAAGATGATCAAACTCTGTGACCCAGCAAGCTTTGTTAAGTCAATATCAAGACAGAAAGCAACCAGGATTCAAGGAGACCGAGCTGTCCCCGAGTACGTAACGAGAGCGGATGTGGGGTGATTCTTATAGCTTCTGTAAGAATGAGCCTAATGTAAACATAAACGCTGCTCAATGTTTGGTGTAGACAATTTGGATACTCAAAGGAGCAAAAGTTTAGACAGGAAGCAACTAGGATTCGAGGAGACCGAGCAGACACCACATATCTAACGAGAGCGGATGTGGGGTGATTCTTATAGCTTCTGTAAGAATGAGCCTAATGTAAACATAAACGCTGTTCAATGGTCGGTGTAGACAATTTGGATACTCACAGGAGCAAAAGTTTTGTTAAATCAATATCAAGACAGGAAGCAACTAGGATTCGAGGAGACCGAGCAGACGCTGCATATCTAACGAGAAGGGATGTGGGGTGATTCTTATAGCTTCTGTAAGAATGAGTCTAATTGGTTTGAAGATTAGAAAAGCAACCTAACTGAAGAATGGATGAAACTGAAGAGTTAGTCATGTAATTGTGCTAGTGTGGTGTGTTATTATCTCCACCTACTTGGATGTTGAATGTTTCCATCACTGTCACCTTCACTTATATTAGAACATGTTCCTTCGTCTTTCTGATGGTTAACTCGTCTCAGACCGTGTTGATTACCTTGAGTTGAATGAGAAGCATCCTTACCGACCCGGTATTCCTACAAAGAAGTAAAAGATGGGTTGAGTTGGATAAATCTTTAAAAGAGAAGGGAGAGAACCAGAAGCTTCATACATCATTAGACAGCAAATTATCTGCCTCAAGCATGTGGATGACATGTCCCATTTTCGGCCTCTTCGAAGCATCAGGATCGACACACCGAAGAGCGACCAGCAGAACACGTTTTAGAGCTTTGGAAGGAGGCTTCTCCGGCAACTTGAGGTCAACCACTTCCTCGGATCTTCTATCTCCAACCATTGCTTTCAACCAATCCACCAAATTGACCTGCCATTATGACATTAACTTAAACTGAATAAACAGCAGAAGAGAAATGCATGAACTGATCATAATCCAGCATTAGATGCAAGGAAAAACTAACCTCTCCTTGAGGTCTACTATAATCGACAGGGCTCCGCCCAGAAATTATCTCCATAATTAGAATTCCAAAGCTATAAACATCACTCTTCTCATTCAACATTCCCGTGCAAGCGTACTCAGGCGCAACATAGCTGTAGACATCATCACCACCACTTAACTTTCCATCTAAGGGACGATAGAAAGTAAAAAACGATAATAAGATAGGAACTAACCCAAATGTACCCATTACACGGGTCGTCACATAGCTCCTTTCGGAACAAAGAAGCTTGGCTAGCCCGAAATCAGATACTTTAGCATTCCACTGACGGTCAAGCAATATGTTGCTAGATTTTACATCACGATGGACAACCTTTGGTTCAAGACCCTCATGAAGATAGGCTAATCTAAACAATAGAAATCAAAAAGGAAATCAACATGAGTAGAATCACATGATTCAATAGCTAAAATCCTCATTAACACAAGTATATACCCCTTTGCCGTTCCGAGTATGATGTTAACACGAATCTCCCACGTCAAGGGGCTCACATCCCCGACGTCGCCATGAAGCCACTGATCTAGATTGCCATTGTTAACGTACTCGTAAACAAGCATTCTGAAGAACGAAAGCAAAAGTTCATAAAAATACGTTAGAATCACCAAAAACTATCTTGCATTTAGAGAAAATCAACAGTACCTATATGCACCCTCAACGCAATATCCTAGCAGCCTGACAAGATTCTTGTGTCTTACTCTTCCAATTGCTTCAACTTCCACTTTAAATTCCCTCTCAGCTTGACCCCTTGTAACAAATAGGTTCAATTTCAGTATCTTTATGATCTTTAAACCAAGAAGAACATGGGGGAAATCAGAAAACACATAAAATTGTAACAGTTTGAAACATTCCCTACAATTTCTAAGTTATAACATGTAATTGGCTTCGTTTTCTTGAAACCAAACAGAACAGAACGAATCCCAACTAAGAACATATGGAACTCTCAGGTTGCAGCAGCAAATAAATCAAAGAAAGAAATCAACGATAACACATCAGAGAATCAGTGAACCAGATCACCTGTTATTCAAGAGATTCTTGATAGCAATTCTTGTACCATCTCCCAAAGTACCTAAATACACGATCCCATACCCACCTTCTCCAATCACGTTCTCTTCACACAAGCCATTAGTGGCCGCCTCGAGCTCTCTAAGAGTATACCATCTGCCCCAACCAAGATGCGAAACTTCAGGCCCAACAGTACCAGATCCAAGCGAAGCAGTTTCACTCACAGCGCCTCTGCTCTCCCCACTAGACGGCCTATCAGAGAAAACAACTCGATGCTCTAATTTTCCGATCTCGACATGAATCTCCGGCTGCACATGGTGGTGATGATCCGGTACCGCGTTATGGACGATTTCCTGGATTTCTTTCGAAATGGGAGGAGAATGGTCGGCTGTGGACTTAGGGAAACGGATTTTGTTCTTATGGCGATTCCGCTTGCGAGAAGTGAGGCAAAGTGAAAGAAGAAACAGTGCGAGAACTATTAAGGCTCCGACTACGATTCCGATTACAACCCAGAGATGAAGGCCGAAAATGGAGGTCCGTTTAGAGAGCGCCGTGTTAAAGAATGAGGAATCATATATTGACATCGTCTTCTTCTCTTCTTCTTCTTCTTCAGGTTCCAATCGAGAAACAGAGGAATCAAAGAAAGCGAATCAGCGAGTATAAGCGGCTTGACCTCATCGGAAAACGGCAGCAATGGAGGATTCCGGCGAATGTGCAAAGAGGGAAAAATGGAATCGAAGAAAACGGTGGGCTTAAAGGCTCTATGAGTAAAGGGATTTTGTACTTCTTTCCACCATTGATGATACTGAGGTCCACTTACTTTACCTTCTCCTCCACTTTGCTTAGCTTAGCTGTCAAACCCAAGAATATAATTTTTTTCAACTTTAATTTTTTAATCTTTATTATTATTTTTTTAAATTAGTTACAAACGTCAAATATTCTCAATACAGTAGGTTGGGTTGTAAACTTGTTTTCCCATTAGTCAAGTTGACCCGACAAAAAAAAATGTCAACTAGTTGAATTGTTCTAAAAATTCAATCTAACTCAAATTAAAAACTCTAACTTATAGTTTGAGTTTGATAATTTGAGTTGATTGGGTTCTCAGATCATATAGACATGCTCGTATTTTTTAATATTTTGATATATATTATATATTATAGGTTAGTTGAATTATGATCGTGGTAGTTATTTATTTATTTTTTTTATTTTTTAAAAGTTATAATGTTTTGTATTTTTTTTAAGTAGAAGTTGAGTCAACCTATTTTTTTTTATATATATTTGACATTTAGCATTCTATTATATATATTTTGAATATTATATTTAATAGGATTTTTAATTTTTAAATTTTTTAAAATAATTTTTTTATATAAATAAAAATAATTTTAAATTTATTGTAGTTTGGGTAGATGGGCTTGATTTAATAAATATGGAATTAATGGATATGAATATAAAAGTTTTAAGAGTATAGTTATAATTTTTTGTTTATTTTTTTTAATTAAAAATGTTTTGAAATTTTAGACAATCTTTTTAATTAAAAAAATGCTTTTATGAACTAAAAAATGGGTTGAAAGTAAAGTAAAATAGTAAAGAAAAAATATTAAGTACAATTGACTAAAATTTATTTATTATTTTAATTTTAAAAATATTTACAAACTTTAGTCAACTGGAAAAAAAAGTTTTTGAGAATTAAAAAAAACTAATTACAACCTTTTTTTTTTTAATTAAAAAAAAACTAATCAATGACGATGAATAGAAAAGGTATGTCAAATTATGAAAAGAAAAACGTGTGTGCATCTACTTGAATTTGTTCGGTAGGAAAAAACGTAGCTTGATGTTTGGTACAATAAAATTTTAGTAAAATTGTCAAAAGTGTTGAGGATAGCTTTAAAATTTTGATGGACGGAATGAAACTTATCGAACCTATCTCCCTTCAACGGGAGAAGATCGACAAAATTGATGCTAGACTGGAATTGTATTAACCTTGAAGTTTTAGGGCGAGAATTTGCAAGATGGGTTGACCGTGGGCTTATGCTTCATTGGGATCTTGTGGGGTCCTCTATCACTTCTATGTCCGATTTGTTTATTTATTTCTCATTCAACCCCTTGTTTTTCTGCTTTCAATTTCTAATTAGGGCTCATGTTGTAAGGATCCTCGACATTGGAAAGCTAGGTTATGATCAGGGGGTCGAGCTTAGTCATTTTGTATCTTTTAGGAAACCTCTTCGGTCTTCCTGCTCGTTTGGAAGCTAACTTACCTTGCGTTTGCTTGTATTCTTATTTCAATAAGACTTTTTTTAATGGTAATAAAAGAGAGAATCGATTGCTTGATTCAATCATTCAACTTCGTGTTAACAATATTGTCTTACCTGTTATCTATAGTAAGGAACATAGTTTCTCATAGATGACTTGTAGCTTCAATTTTGGCTAAGATATGCCCGAGTCTCAACCTCAATCTCTTTATAGGTTCAATCTTGTCACCTCGTTGATTAATTCAGACCAATGATTAATCTCTCCTTTGATTTTGATTTTGATTTTTGGATTATTCACTTCACTTGTGTTCTCAACCATGACCATTTTTCCATTGGCAAGGTCTCGAACAAGTTTTTGTTGGATGGTTATGATTGTATAGTGTCTCGAAAATGTGATCGAGTGTAATTCATTTTAGCTTATAATGACAATCTAGTTCTATAAAAATATTGAATCTTTAATTTTATATTCTTTCTATAGTGACGTTTTAATTAAAATTTTAATAAATAATGCTAATCGTTATCTATATTTTTTTTATTTCAAGAGTTCATAACAAAACCATTTTTCGCAAAATGAAAATCATTTTTAATTTAAAATTTTTAAATAACTTAAATTCATTTGACCTAAAATTTAAAATCTAATGAGGTCAATTATACATCATTTGATAAAAAATAAAAAATAATAAAATAATAAAAACAAAAAAAACAAAAATGGCCCCACTTTCTTGTATTCACATCTTTAATAGAAAAAAAAAAGTATTAATTAACTAAATGACCAAAAAGTAACCACTCAAGGATTTGCTAATTTGCTAATTGATTACAACTTTGACTTGTTGATGTTAGATGAAATGTTGTTGATTTTATGTTATGTCTAAAGATATTCTAATGATTAATTTAAAGAAAGTAATGCAAGTGGGTTTAAATAATTAAATTAATTAAGGTCTAAGAATTAATTACTTAAAGCATTTAATTTTTTACTTCTAGTTTTAGAAAATTCCAAAAATAATGTATTTTGGATTTATAAGAAAAATGGATTGTCAACTCAAACTAAAAAGGCAAAGTAATGAAGCAACCAAAATAGGATGGCAAAAGCATAACATTTAAAAGATAACAATAATAAAAGTAATCTATAGGGTGAAGATATTTACCGAACGTAGTCTATGCCCTCTTCTATTTGCATAAAGGAATTGATTTGAATACCGAGTTAATACAAAAAGACATGAATTAGCTTGAGGGAGAAGAGCAAAGCTGCAAGACATAAAAAAACATTGTTTACCGTTCGAGAATAGATAAATGAATGAGAAAAAATAGTCAAAAGGGAATAGAGAAAAGAAAAAAAAATCCAAGAGAATAGGAAAAATGGAAAAGTTCCAAAATTGAACGTGACGGTAAACATTCAAAGATATAGACAAAGAATGGCTAGCTAAATAGTCACGTTCTTTCAACTAGTTATGAAATTTTTTCGACCTAAATTTGTAATTTTTTTTGTTTGTATTTTATTAATGTTATAAATGGATAGGTATGTATACATAGAAGATTTTAAAATAAATAAATGAACTATGACTATTCACATCATTACCATATAAAATTATAAGCACTACCATAAAAGCAAGAAAGCCCGACATATTTTTACTCCCATTTAAAAGGCAAAGTAATAGGATGGCAAAAAGTAACACATGCAATACAGCTAGTACAATCAAAATCATATTTTTACCCCCACGGAAACATGACATTTAAAAGATAACAATAATCAAAGTAATCTATAGGGTGAAGATATTTACCGAACGTAGTCTATGCCCTCTTCTATTTGCATAAAGGAATTGATTTGAATACCGAGTTAATACAAAAAGACATGAATTAGCTTGAGGGAGAAGAGCAAAGCTGCAAGACATAAAAAAACATTGTTTACCGTTCGAGAATAGATAAATGAATGAGAAAAAATAGTCAAAAGGGAATAGAGAAAAGAAAAAAAAATCCAAGAGAATAGGAAAAATGGAAAAGTTCCAAAATTGAACGTGACGGTAAACATTCAAAGATATAGACAAAGAATGGCTAGCTAAATAGTCACGTTCTTTCAACTAGTTATGAAATTTTTTCGACCTAAATTTGTAATTTTTTTTGTTTGTATTTTATTAATGTTATAAATGGATAGGTATGTATACATAGAAGATTTTAAAATAAATAAATGAACTATGACTATTCACATCATTACCATATAAAATTATAAGCACTACCATAAAAGCAAGAAAGCCCGACATATTTTTACTCCCATTTAAAAGGCAAAGTAATAGGATGGCAAAAAGTAACACATGCAATACAGCTAGTACAATCAAAATCATATTTTTACCCCCACGGAAACATGACATTTAAAAGATAACAATAATCAAAGTAATCTATAGGGTGAAGATATTTACCGAACGTAGTCTATGCCCTCTTCTATTTGCATAAAGGAATTGATTTGAATATCGAATTAATACAAAAAGACGTGAATCAGCATGAGGAAGAAGAGCAAAGCTGCAAGACACAAAAAAACATTATTTACCGTTCAAGAATAGATAAATGAATGAGAAAAAATATGTTTTACCTCGTCAAAAGAGAATAGAGAACAAGAAAAAAAATCAAAGGGAATAGAAAAAATGGAAAGGTTCCAAAATTGAACGTGACGATAAACATTCAAAGATATAGACAAAGAATGGCTACCTAAATTGTCATGTTCTTTCCGCTATTTATGAAATTTCTTCGAATTAAATTTGTAATTTTTTTTTTTTTTTGTTGGTATTTTATTAATGTTATAAATGGGTAGGTATGCATACATAGAAGATTTTAAAATAAATAAATGAACTATGACTATTCACATCGTTCCCATATAAAATTATAAGCATTACGATAAAAGCAAGAAAACCTGACATATTTTTGTTTCCATACTGTAAATGCACATGCATGCGAGTTAACTATGGATTGTGCACGTGGAAGCCATCAACTAATGCCCCTATGCTCTAATGCCATTAATTTTATCCCCAATAATATTAAAGGCTGAATATTCTAAACTATTTATATTTTAGAAGATAAAAAGAATATTAAAGAATACCATTTTACACATCAACAAAGACTAAAAGACGAGGTTAGTTGAAAGATGATTATTAATTTTAATTTAAAAATGCAAAGTGTCTCTACTTTTTTAACTTAAAAGTGGAAAAAATACCATGAGAATCAACATTGAGTACTACACACTATAGTGCTAAAGAAACTCCTGTTATATTCTTAGAAAAAGCTATAAACTTTATCAAAATGGAAGGAATGATACTCACCGTGGTGCTGAAGGAGCTTGTGTCATATTCCTATGAAAAAATCAAACGAACTTTAACAAAAGGGTGAGTGGAAATACCTTGTAGAGAAAACGAGATAGCTCCATCTCTAATGCAAGAAATTTGTGAGATCCCACATCGATTGGAACAAGTGTCAGCGAGGACGAAGTATTCTTTATAAAAGTGGATTGTGAGATCCCACATCAACTTAGAGGAGAAGAAAACATTCTTTATAAGGGAGGGTGTGGAAATCTCTCCCTAACAAACGCATTTTAAAAACCTTGGGAGGAAGCACAAAGAGACAATCTCTATTAGTAGTAGGTTTGGACCGTTACAAAATCTGCATAGAAGAAATGATTTTAATCCACAAAAGAAAGGATTAAAAGCATAGAAGAAATGATATTAATCTACAAAAGAAAGGATTAAAAGCCTAAAACCGTGATTTGATTGACAATTACCAGTGTCGCAGCTTGTTTGGCAATGTATAGAGATGATGAAAGGATCCAATAGAGCCGTAGAGACGTCTATGAATCATGATATGTTGTATGTCTTCTTCACAATAAACGTTCATACCAAATACTTGATATCAAGATTAGTCTAAAAAAAATCAACTCATCTTAACAAGAGAAGGGTTTAAATACTAAAGCATAATTGTTCCGTCATTGACCTGCCTAAAAGAGCTTTTTTTTTTTTGCAGAAGTATCGACCTGCATTTATAAATAAGATTTGAATACTGAAGCTTCGTAAAAGGTATAAATTAATGCATCCCTAATATTGATCCACACATTCTAATCTCTTAATTGTAAGATTTTATAATGTATACATTGACCTGCCAAGAGCTTTTGCAAAATTATCAACCTGCACAAGTAGATAAGATTAGTTTGTACTCTGAAGCTTTGCAAAGAGTAGGAAGTTAATGATTTACATTCTTCTTGACCCACCAATTCTAATCTCGAACGGCATTGCAGGGTCGGGTCAATTCACAATGCCTTGACCGGTTGAACTATACGAGACCATTTAAGAATTAAACTACATCTGATACGGAAATTAGGATTCAGGGGACACAGAATGCAGCCAAGTATTGACAAAATTGCATATTGTAAGCAGAATTACACTAATGGTAAAAATAAGAACATAATTCTACCTCACGAATGCTATTCAAAAGAGTCTGATCTAGTTCATACAGATTGACAAATATGATATTCGTTGCTAGTTTCTCGCTCGTTGCCTTCACGGTAGTTAGGTCAATAACAAGAAAAGATATAGAGAAAAAAAAGAACTTTTTGGGGGTAAAACTAAGAACAATCATGCCTCCCTCTTCCTTTGGGGAAATTCCTTCTCTCATCTCTTCCCCTACCCTCGCCTAACAAAGTCAATCAGATAGTGTAGAACGTCAAATCACCTTGGTAGATACAATATAATGAGCACGATTGGCTATCATTCTTCTTTCTTATCCGCTTGGTCGAGTGCAGCCAATCTTTCAACTAGTGGAGGATGAGAGTAGTGATAAGCAGAATACCAGGGATCTGTATTCAGCGCAGACAAATTTTCCTCCTGAAATGCAAATTTTTGTTAGTCTAATATATATGATTATATCGCCAAAGTTTAAGAATGCGTTAAATACGTCAGATAACTTTTTTACATTATCCTCTGGAAACCAATGTACTGATGTCTGCTCCAATGCAGTATTAATACAGGAAGGAAAGAGATGATCATAATCAAAAGTCACAGCATAGGATGGAAACTGTAGATAATAATAACCTGTAGTCTGACAAGACCAGCACGAAGAGGTGCAGAATAACCGAGTTTCTTTGCGAAGGCATCAGCCTGCATTTGATCAAAGAAGAAAAGGTATTTGAAGATCAAAACCCTCTTACCTACAGATAGAGATGGTTAACAGAATATTGTAGCTGCAAGTGTATAAGACATACCTGGAACTCGAAAGATCGGCTCACAAGGTTGAGACCAAAGCTTACCAGATGCTGAAGAGGTATCACAGTGTGCTGCACATCCAATGGCAAGGAAACGTAAGGGTATACATTGAAATTTCTGTTAAAAATAAATTCCATCTCATTTTTCATATTTACAACATTTTTAGCATTTATACAGCATTTTAATGTGTTTTAAAGGTCATTGCCACTGGAGTGATCTGATTCATTTGCGTAGGGTCGTAAGTATTCCTCCAGAATGAAAAATTTAACGGTAACCTTCAAATTGAAAAAAAAAAAATGAAGCAGTTGATAGTGGAAATGCAGTGAGCACTGGCTGAGTATCAAACCCAAAACTTCGGAAGTCAAGGTGGCAAGAAGTATCAAGAAGATGTAGAAGCAAAAATCAAGCCGAAGAAAAATATTGAACTACACACGAGTATAGTAGAAAAGCAAAATACATCATTAAGTAGGGATGGCATAGCATGTCAACTTTAGATATATAATTCAACGTTCTATTTTATCACTACCTGGAATATGATGAGTCCAATAAGCACTGGCTGAGTATCAAACCCAAAACTTCTAAACAAATCGCTGGAATTCCTCACCAAGGTATATCCCCCAAATTGCAAAAGTGTAAGAATCTGCTCACGAGTTCAATAAGGAGAGAACAGGTTGAGGTTTTCACACACACATTCGTGCCAGATTGCAAACTGATGTTTTACAGTGTTTTCAACAAAGCAATATACCTGTAAAGCAATGAATGAATACATCGTATGATTTAGCTTCCAATGCCCCAACTCATGTGCTATAACAGCAACAATTTCCTCATCATTTTTGCACTGATAAACAGAATGGGAAGAAAATATGAAGTTATTAGGCAAGTGAAAAATCCCGTATACATATTAAAATACACCGTACAAGGTTCTGTACAAAAATAAGTTCAGCAAGTAAAGGCAATAATATGATAAAAGATGTCCACAACATTTCAACTTACTTGTTGAATCAATGTATCATAAAGGACAATTCTCTTGTTTTTGAAGAAACCATACATGTAAGCCTGCATGAAAAGCAGTAATTTGACTGAGACCATAGTGAAAAACATCGCTAGAGGAATTATTCATTAGAAATAAAAAATATAAAAGATCCAAATCACTCCCTGAATAATACTCTTAATTGCCAATTGATAACGCAGGAAAAAAGAAGGAACTGATATCGATAATTTATCAAAACACAAGTAAATGTGCAATCAGAAATTATCTAAAGTAGGCAAGATAGAATTTGGTGGTCAAGAGTTTTACGTTGCTATGACTTGACCTCGTTGATCCATCAACAACAAACAGCTTCTTCAGTGGGAACTTGAGGGAGGAAGCAAGTTTCTCAATCTTCTCCCTGAGATCACCTGCAGGTAGCTATTTTCACAGAGCATTAAGGTGGGACGACTGAACAAAAAAAAAAAAAACACACACACACACACACACAACTATCTAGTCACTAGAAGCTTTGATCAAATTACACAGTTTGGATACTCACAGGGGTAAATTTGTTGAAAAGAGGGGCTATAAGAATGGGATAAAGGGTCATCATCACAAGAGATAATGTAAACATAAATGCCCAAAGATAGATGGCAAGGTACGGTCCTCCTTTCTGTATACAATCAACAGATATTATTAGTCCTTGCATATTATGAAAGAAAAGATATAAGGAATATTAATGCAGAAACATTGGAGTAGATGAAGTGAAGTGGAAAAAGAGAAAGCAAAAGAACTCCAGATAAAATAAATTTACAATGACATGCTTCTGTATGATAACTCACATAAGTTTACCTGTACTATTATAATGATTGCAGACACAATTGGTGGGCCAAGTATGACAAACAACAAAATCCCTTTAATCATATCCCTGAAGAATAACCATATTGTTTGCTGTAGAAGAGATATTAAATAATACAGCATTAAAACAATAATAAGGAAGTAGACTGGACATCATTGAAAACTTCCAAATGCTTTTAGTGGAATGCCACGGGAAAAATAATTGTCCAGTACAAAATAAAATTGGATATCTCACGAAGTTGGGGAGAGTTATCATGTTCAGACAAATTACATACTTTATTGAAACCATGGCGGGATTCAATCACAAAAGTTGAGTAGAGAGAAAATGGTAGGCCCGTGATCTGCAAACCAGTCCAAACAAACAATCACTGTAAACCAACTTCAAATCATAAATATCACAAGTTCAATCTATAAATGAAAATATTTAGAATTTAAAAAACAAGCAATCTAGACATTAGGAAAAAACATCCAACCCCAGACAAAATACATTAAGGGCATAATTCCATACTTAAGGAGATAAAAAAAAATAATAATAATAAATAAATAAATAATAATAATAATAATTTTTAAAAAAAAACTCTAAAGTGAACACTGAAATTTAACTATTTATAACACTTCCTAGCGAGGTCTATCCTTGTCATTGAGACTCTTTCATTTCTTTCTTCCCATTTCAAGTTAGCAGAATTTCTCTGATTCATGTCCGCTGTCTAGGTCTACACATGCAAAATAATAATTGAAAAAGAAAATACATACTGAGTTTGAAATTACTTTTAAATGCACTGCATACTGAGTTTGAACTTCAATTTAAATGCATCTAGCAAGTTTCCATTGCTACAGTCAATCAAGAAATATAATTTTCCACAATTTCCAAACCCAATATGGTAGTGTCAAAATGATGAGTAGAATAGAAGGCAGCATACAGTTTCATACTGTATGTAAACAGAGTATGCTGCTCTATCTAATACATGGGGATAAAACTATATGAATCAAGGTCTTCAAAGGCAAAGCAGATTAAAGCAAAATAACTTCTCTACTTCTAAAACATGGATATTGAAAATGACTTGAGCATACCTGTGACCAAATCATGACCCCAGCTAGAAACACAAGTGTGTGGAGAATTTCGTTTTCAGCATTGAGGCCAACCAACACAACAAACTCTCCAGATTTCTGCACGTGATTGCAATAGTGGACAATATGAAATTTTCAACTTTAGTAAAGGAAAAACTTGAATTAATGAATTCACTCATGAACTTTAATTGCTCACTTTCCAAAACCATGGAAGTACTCCAAAAAACAGTATTGAAGAATCCATCACTATAGTTACAAACTCCTGAACAAAATGAAAGTGGCTGAAAGACAAGAGGTACGTGTTATAAAAATTAACCACCAGAATAAATACGGGGCAATACTTCAAGTTCAGGGGAAGTTTAACAAAGTATGATTTTCAAACCTTTTATCAAGACTGTAGGCCTGGGATTTTTTAAATTTCTCTTGGCTTATAACTCCTTCAAGAGTTTTTGGAAGAGTAGGCAGTTTCAGAGCAGCATGTTGCCGAAGATCCAAATAAGTTTCGAAAAAATACATCAATATCATGAAGCCTGAGGATAAAAATACGTGCATAAAAAAAAAATCAGTTACTTCATTCGTTTCCTCTTCAATAAACTGACCCCCTCTGTTCTGACAACTAATAGAGAAGTAAAACTACATGACCGAGATTCACGCATGTATAATTCTTTTTCTTCTCTTCAAAGATTCGCTCAATTCTAATGCAACTATCATTTTCAATGCCTAAACCCTTAACATGCGATATAAGACTCATTTCGAAATCAAATTGACGCAGTCCCATCCTATGAACTGAGGGAGAAAACATTACAATTCGACCGTGCAAAACCATACAACCATTATTTTCCCAATCACTAATTCAACTTACAACATGCCATTCCAAATCATTTCCAATGCCTAAACCCTTAACATCAAGAGCACAAACGTAAAACCCTAACAAAACATTAAAAAAAAGAATCCAACATTCTCGAAAGAATCCAAAAGTTACAACATACAAATACATAACAAAGCTCAGCGGATCTAACAGGCGTCATGATCGTCGAGGTAACCAAGAAAAACAAGCGATAACGAAAACACAAAATCTAAAACCAAACATCGAGCATCGAGCATCAAACCAAGAAAACGAAAAGATTACTTGCATAAACATGAACAGAAACAAGAAGTAGGTGAAGAAAAATGAGTACCAACAACAGCTTCCATGTACGGAAATTCCATGGCGGAAGGCAATCAATCGGTGGAACCGTGCAGGGAGAGACGTTCGACGGTGAGCGGGTTTTGCTTAGCCGGGATGGTTCGTCCCGGTGGGCAGAAATTTATATCAAAGGAGTCTGAATCGGTTTCTTTTTTTCTTTTGGATTAAAAAATTCTCATATAAAATTTATTTTACCGCTAAAATAATTTAATTACTTCATCATTTAATTAATATGATTTTACATTAATTGTCTTGAAATTTCGAAATTAATTACATTAATTAATTTAAATCTTAATTTTTATAAATCCATCAATTTAAATTTTTCATTACAAAAAAACGTTAATTATAAATAAATTAATTTAGACTCTTTATTTAAAAATTTAAAAAATTGTCTTTACTTGAGTTTCTATCCATTTAAAAATTAAGAATTTAATTAATTGAATTATAAATTTGCATGTTTTTTTAAATAGAATTAAAATTAATATAATTATTAATTTAGGGTTTAAATTAATATAATTAAGAGTATATATTAATTTTTTATCTTATCTTAAAATAATAAATGTGTCCCATAATAAAATCTTTTACAAAAATACGTATATATTCGTTGAATTAAAAAAATGGTATATATTCGCTCATATTCTTCGTTTGTTTAAAAATGGTATTTAACTTTATTAAATAAATAAATATAAATATTTAATATATATATATAAACATTTAAATTAAATTTTGTTTAATCCGCTTTGAATGATGTTTTGTTCTCCTCCCCAACCAAATCCACTCCTTCGGGGCCAAGGGCCTAGCGTCCTGGCACACCCGCCTCGTGTCTACCCCCTTCGGGAAAGAGTGAGAAGGCTGGCACGTCATTCAGTGTCTGGCTCTGATACCATTTGTAATGACCGAGGCCCACTGCATATTGTCTTTTTTGGGTTTACTCTCAAGACTATAAAACACGTCTACTACTGGTTGTTAAATATTTTAAAATAATAATTTTGGTCACAATTATTTTGGTTATATTTTTACAAAATTAAATTATTGTCATTTACTAAAAAATTATTACTGCATGTTAAAAAATTTATTATGCCTATACTGTTACAATTCCAACTAGTATGACACTTGTTTTAACCTGACGAATAAGTCAACTACACAAAAGTTTGACTTTGCGAACAATTCGATATATGATCGAGCCTTAGGTTATTTGCAATAAATATTTTAGGAAACGTGAGCGAAAAAATATGTTGAAAACAATTTGAAAGACATCAGTGTATAAGCTAAAAGTGAATAAACAACATTAACAACTTTGATAACATATAATCCGGGTATAAATAATTGACAACTGGTCACATCATCGGTGGTGAAATTTGAGGCATTTTAGTCATGACAGACGTAGACATGATTTTGATGACTGGTCATATACTCCATATTGACATAACAAAAATAGTAAAGGTCTATCTAACATAAAAGCAAGTAAAAAGAGGTTTGGAACGAGCATGCAGTCATAGATAACACACTGTGAACAAGCATGATAGGGATAGTCAACACACGGCTACATATAAAACGCCTTGGACAAGCGCGACGGTCCAAATTTTCTCGTGAAGACCCCTAGATAGCTATTTTGATTAACACAACGTTTGAGTTTCATGTGTTAAGCATATAGCTAACGTTCCTTTTGAGCTAGGATCAAGCTCATATTGTGAGTATGATTGGGCCCTGCTATGGTAAAACCTGGTGAATCGATTGTACAACGGGGCTCGAGTTATCAAGAATCAAAATGACAAAGACTTCTCATTGAGCAGATTCGATGCTATCTCGATCAGTTAAGGGAACGAGGGTCGCTTTCCTATCTTGAATAGTCATACTCAATCCCACCCGCTCTTGATTTGGGTGGGATCTATTAGCAACGACATTGTCCCTTAACTCGAGACCATTTTAGAATCATGGAATTCTCTCTCGGGGATGTGAAACTAATGACTTTTGATTTCACGATCACAATAATTTGAAGCTCGACCCTAATATTTATTCTATTTGTTAAGTTGATTAGTATATTAAAAATCGCTTAACATTATTTAATTATTTATGTAATAAATATGAATATAAAAATTGGTGAATATAAAGAGACGGCGCACTAAAAATGTAGATTTTGGAGGCTTACAATTTATTTAAATCCCAAATTTATTTTTACTAAAGGGGTAAATTTTGTATTCAACTACCACGCTTCAAAGGGCGCGTGAGAGTAACGTTCAATAACATAGATGAGGTGTTGGCGCGTGGCTGACAGGGAGAAACATGCGCGTGGTATTGTGTTAACGCTGTAACTAGTTGAATATATATTTTTTTAGTTTATAATTTGTTCCTCTTTCCTGATGTATGTGGTTTAGGTTGATGAACAGAGACCAGAATTCCAGCACTCGAATTTCTCTCTCGCGTCGATTACTCGGGAAATCCATTTATCCAAACCCTAGAAGCTTCCAATCCGCAAGAAGTTCGTGTCCATGGGGATTTATTTTTGAATAATTTTTGTTTTGGATCCAGGTGTTTTGTTTTTGGTTCGTTTTGTTTGTTTTTTTTCATGTACCAAAACCCTAGTTTCAATCTGGAGCTCTCGGATTGAACAAAACCCTAGAATTTGTTCTGGTGCGACATCTAAGATCACGTGTTATAACGGTAATTTTGTTTGTGGTGGACGGATCGTGTGGGAATTGGATTTATGATTCGTTGAAAGCGCGATTCTGTGTAGTAATCTTGTTTTTTGGGGTTGAGATTTAATTGAAAGAAGTGGTAAACGGGATTTGGAGATTGATAAATTTTTGGCGAGGGAGCTTGGGTGGATGGAGTTCACTTTTTGAGGGATTTTGATGCGCATTCAGCTGGATCATAGATGGGATTGCCTCTGAGTCTGCATTTTTAATGCTTTCTGACTTGAATTAGCTTCGATCGAACGAACAAATTTGAAGACAAGGCGATGGAGAGTAGTTTTTAGCGTGTTGTCTGCATTGAATTAATTGATTTTCTTTAAAGAATGAGACGGTATAGTATCCAATAAATTTCGAATTAGCTTTGCGGTAATCTTGGGCGGCGTTGTTGTTCAGTAAATTGGTTCTGGTGCTGTTGAAGACTTTTTGCATATCGATCCATTGCACTGATTAATCTTGTCCCGAGTAAGCAAGCAGAATGAGCCTCAAGAAGGAGGATTTGAAGCCACACGATCAGACTGCTACAGTGAAGCATGATTTGCGAAAGTAATTACATATAATTTGCAGTTCCTAACCGATATCTGTGGTTTATTTTCTTGCTTCTTTCTTCTCCTCTATTATTTGTTTTCTACTGTTAATTCTGGCTAGTATTGACTGCATTTTCTTGATCCTGTTTAGGAAACCGAAGTTTTCTTACACGAGGGATTTCCTCTTGTCCCTGAGCGGATTGGATGTTTGCAAAAAGTTGCCGAGCGGTTTTGACCAATCAGTTATCGCGTAAGATGGTCTTTCGTGCATCGGTTCTATTTTTTTTTAACTACTAATAAATTGTTATTATTCTTTGTTTACGCTACTGAAGTCTGTATCTTACAAAGTAAAGAACTGACGATAAGCCTTGTGATAGTATTCTTGTTTTCCTTGTTGGATTGTTTTTCTGAGCATACGTCTCCCCTTGTGTAGTGAATTAGAAGAAGCTTCCTATGATAGGCAAAGAGTTTCTGGAGGGTTGTCTTTGAATAGCTTTAGGCGCAATGAGTATGGTTCATCACCACCCAATAGGGCAGAAACGACTAATTATGCTCGTCGAATACATGGAAAGAAGGACATTAATTCTTCTGGACGGAGTGATAAGGATAGCGATTCACAATCTGACCGGGATTCAGGTGAGGTCTCTTCTTAATCTATTGTTAAGTTTCGATAACTTCATTGTTCTATACAAACTAATCTGAATATCATGTCATATCCGGCTTTGTTAACTGTTGGGTTCCTGCTGTAGTTGATTTAACTGAAAAAATACTGCTGTCTTGGAAATAATTTCATTTACATGTATATTAATAATGATATTTCTGCCTACTCAAACGTGGTTGACTAATGGAGCTCTGACAGCATTTCTCTATTTTAAAGCAGAGCACCTTGAGAACACGTTATTTGTATTGGTTTGATATCCTTAAATAGATGTAGATGTTAAAACCAGTCAATTCAGGATTTATGATGTGAAATTACTACAATATTGACATTTGGAATATTCATTTCAACAGTGGATTCTGGGTGGCGATTAAGTGATCATTCTAGGAGGCCTTCGCAGGGTCCTGAACAGGATGGACTTCTTGGTAGTGGTTCTTTTCCAAGACCACCTGGATATGCAACAGCATTTTCGGCACCAAAAGTTCGAGCACATGATCAGTACCAGCTAAATAGAAGCAATGAGCCATATCATCCACCTCGACCTTATAAGGTTTTCATTATATTTTCCAATCTTTCTACTTTGCAAACAAAATTTAAAATTAAATTTCCATCCTTGGATTATGGTTATACATTCAACCATATGTCTTTAAACATAAACAGAATCATTTTGTTGAATGGGTAAGTGAATTACACAACAAGAATTTGAAATTATTTTGAGTAACCTTTCCTTATGGATGTTGTTTTTTCATTAATCAGGCTGTAGCCCATCAACGAGGGAATACTCATGATTCGTACAATCATGAAACTTTTGGTTCTTCTGAGTTGACAAGTGAGGATAGAGTTGAAGAGGAAAGAAAGAGAAGAGGTAATCGCTCTTTTCTCCATGATGCTTGATGTACTAACTTGAACATTTACAGATCTTGTTCAAATACTTATTCCAACAATACTTTTAGCTGACAAACTTAATTGCAGCTTCATTTGAGTCGATGAGGAAAGAACAACATAGGGCATTTCAAGAAGGTCACAAGTCAAATCCTGTGAAGCAGAGAGATGGATTTGACATCCTAATGCAGTTGGACGAGGCTAAAGATGATAAGAAACTACTGAATACAAGCAGCGGTTTCGATGAACCTATCTCCTTACAATCTTCAAAAAATGATCGAGAAACTTTTTTTCCATCTCAGACAACTGTATCTAGGCCACTTGTGCCTCCTGGATTCACGAGCACTGTGTTGGAGAAAAACTTTGGAACAAGGTCTTCAGTTAATCCTCGTTTGCTTGAGGTAATTATTCGTTTTCATCATATTTTTTTTTGGTTTTAATAGCTTGGAGTATAAGGTTGTTTCCCATTTAAATGTTGTCAATGGGGTGGATATGTGCCTGGGCAGTGTGTTTTTGTCGTCAGCAAGTGTCATATTGTTATAATAAAGAGTTATTCTTCTGGCACTAGATAACACTCTTTCTCCTTATTAACTGCCTATATGTTTGTCACTTGTGTAGGGTAAGGATGACGTCGACAAGTCTCTGCAAACCAAGGACAAGCAATTGCATAATGGGTTCTCTGAAGATTTAGAGGGAAAAAGTTCATTAGAGCAAATGGGTCGCCCTGAACATTATGGAAAAACAAGCACCAATGCTTCTACTAACAACACTGGTGAAAATATTATTCATCTGCTTTCGGCTGTAGACATGTCTAATCAAACAACTGGAACAGACGTTCAATCTCGTGAAAATTCTTTGGAAGTTTTTGAAGCTATTGAAAACAGTGCAGTTGATAATTGTAAGACTGAAATGGTGCCAGCGAATACAGCTGTTGGTGAAGCAAGTCAAGGCCATTCATCTTCAATCTTAGAAAAACTTTTTGGCAGTACCATAAAGTTAGATGGCGGTGCTACTAATTTTATTGAGGTACTCCTGAATGTAGAAAAATCTTTTTCAGCCATGGTATTAATTTTCTGGTTTTGAATCAAAATCAACTTCCTATATGTGGTATTATTACTAGAAGCCAGCTGGTATATTATCCTATGCATTTTACCCAGATTAGCTTTCTAAAATTTTCTAAGTTAAGAAAAACAGGCCTAAATGCATAGAAGTTATGAAAATCAACCCCAGCATGTGGATATCTTTTTGCAATTTCAATCTTATCATAGGAAATCATTTTATTGACGAATCATTATGTCCCTGTTGAGTAAGGGATGGAATTGTTTCATAATTTGGAACTATAATTCTTTTGTTACATTTCTTTTCCTTCAATTTGTATGTAGTTATTTCTGCTCGAAGAAAAATAAGTACCTCCTTTTCTCCTCGTTTGATTTTCATTTTAAGAACAGAAGTAACAAAAGCAATTCTAGTTTGGATACTTCTATCGCTGATGTATGCTTTGCGGGGGTCTTATGCAGCAGCAGGACAGTGAGAAGGATGATGCATGTAGCCCTCAAAATGCTCAATCTTCTAGATTCGCTCATTGGTTCATGGACAACGGTATGTTGGTAAAAATTCTGTATTCAAACGATTCCTTATATCAGTGGTTTATTACCTGATTGGCTTCGAGTTTTAATGCTCATAGCTTCATTTTTTTTCACCTTGCAGATAGGAAACAGGGGGATGACCTTTCACCTAAAAGGTCAATTGACTTGCTTACTATGATTGGAGCTGGAGAAAAGGGTGGATATGATTTTGTATCTGATGTGAAGCATTCTGAGCAATCTCTGCCCACAGTTGTCTTTCAGGGTTATGAATCTGCAGAAAGTTATATCACATCAAGTGCAACATCATCCAATGTTGCAAAGACTGAGCCATTCTATGATAAGAGTAAGCCGGAGGCTGTTTCTGCGATTCTTACCTGTGAGGCCGTTGAACAGACACTGCTGTCAAAAGTTAAAGAAAATGACTCAGCTTTGCAACCGTCTGATCAAAGATGGAGTCATTCTGATGATGATGTGAAACATCCAACTGTTAAGAATGATGATCTTGCATCATTGCACCTTCTCTCATTGTTACAGAAGGGTTCGAGTCCAGTGATTGCAGGATATGGTGATGATGGTGTGAGTGTAGGCTCTGCAATTCACAATAAAAAGGAGGAAAGTACGCACAACGTTTCAAATCCAGGGAAGACATTAACTCTTGAAACACTTTTTGGGTCTGCTTTTATGAAGGAGCTTCAGTCAGTTGGAGCTCCTGTTTCTGCACAAAGGGGGGGTTCATCAGGATCTGTCAAAAGTGATGTTCCAGAACCATGCGATCCGATCACAGATGATGGTCTGTTGTCCAACAATGAAATTCGGCCCAGTATGATTAATCACGATCATGGTGTTCAAAGACAGCAAAACCAACCAGATATAGTTCGTGGACAGTGGTTAAATCTGAATGGCCCTCCGCCTGGAATGGATTCTTCTCATCCCCATGCTAAGTTAGGACATAAGATGGGTGGCTATGATGGAGCAGCTGAAATGCCCTTTCCTCAAGAGGACAGTTTAATCATAAGTGATTCTATGAATCTTCAGAATCTCATGTCTATTGGGAATTCTGCTAGACCTCAACCTCTGTTCTCACACAACTCACAAGACAGTAATGCTGCAATCTTTAACCCTGCCTTCAAAGATGAAAGGCCTAGCATGGGAGGTCTGGAAGGGCTGCCTTTTTCAGCCAGCCTCTACGATCGGAGGGAGACTGAAATGCCACAATGGAAAGCTCCGGTTCATTCCAACTTCTCCCAGCTTCATCCCCAACAAACGAATAATGTCAAGTTTCATCAATTTGAATCTCATCCTCCTAACATGAATTCTCAGGGAGATATAGCGTTGCCAGAAGGAATGGTTCATCACGGCTCACCATCTAATCATCAATTTGTATCAAATATGCTTCGTCCTCCTACCTCCGGATTATCTGGATTTGATCATTTGATTCATCACCCGATGATACAGCAGATGCAAACTTCAGGCAATCTTCCCCCACAGCATCTTCTTCAAGCGTTATCTAGAGGTGCACCTCTGCCTATGACAAACAGAAGCGTTCCTCTACATCCTCATTCCATCAGAGGTAGTGCAGCAACTCTCCAACCGAACAATCAGGTTCCTGGATTAATGCAGGAACAAAATTCAATCCAAGGTTTTCATACCGGTCAGCGTGTGCCCAATACTGGTGGTCCCAGAATTCCCTCGCCAGGTAACACTCATGTTATTTTGCTTCAACTTTAAGTCCTATTTTATATTTGTTATTAAGATATATATTTGACTGATAAATTAGTTTCCATATCCTGCTTATCTGGCCATTATGTGTTCATATTTTTCCCCAATCGATTTGCCTCTATTAAAGTCTGCAGCTGATTAATAGTATCTTTTGTCCTTTAGCAATATAAGGAAAATTATATGCTTCTCGACTCATTTGATCTGATTGTGCTCAAGACATTCTTTACTTTTCCCCAACTTGGATACATTTACACTTAAAATCACTCTCTATGCATGATGCCTGCTGCGGAGTGCTTGTTTTGCTGTGACTATAATTAAAATACTCGTATAATTTAATTTGCCTTAATCCATTAAGCTTTTGGGTTGATTGGTGATTTAACATGGTGTTGTGTTATCTCCTCCCCAATCAATATTGTTTCTCACTTGTTAGACCTTTTTTAAATCTTGAAATCCACGAGTGGGGGAGAGCATTTAAGTAGTGATGTTGTTAAATTTACAATAATTCATCCATTTAAGCTTTAAAGTTGATTGGGTGCTTTAACGAGCTATATAGATAAAATGCAATGCAGTTGAATATGTGTAGCTCATTGATCTCTATTTAGAGGGTGGCTCTCTTTTATTCTGATTTCTCGTTTACATTTCAGCTCCTGGTAACCAACCAGACGCAATTCAGAGGCTCATCCAAATGGGACATAGATCGAACTCGACCTCGAAGCAAATTCATCCGCTTTCTGCCAGTGGTGGCCATGGTCAGGGGATGTATGGTCACGAGTTGAACATGGGTTATGGGTACAGGTAATATTGTAACACTGTACTTCGAGCATACTTGCCCAAATCCTCAATTCCTTGGATAGAGAATGGACACAATTTGCTCCTCTTAGTAGGATTGAGTGAGAAATGTAAGTAATGAATCCTTCTTATGCTTGTTTTTGTTGGTTTATCTTTCGCTTATTTCCCGTGTGGTTTCTAACTCGAAACATAGTTCCGAAGTAACCCGACAGACAAAATGAAATCAGTAGGTGAAGGAAAGTGCTGTGTTTCATTTTTTTGGGAGGCATTTTTAAGAAAGGAACAGAATTGGCTGCTATAGGGATAATACCCTCTTACGAGTGAAAATTGTTCAGTGTTCTCAAAACGAAATGCATCTGTGCCAAAATTGGGTTCATATAGGATTAGTTTCATTTCTTCATCGTGTTTTCTCCCTTGTAGAAAACATCGTCGATCATTGCCTGCCATATGTTTTTATCAAGAGGACAAGATGCGTTAAAAGCGATAAACATTAGATCTTAGATGACAGCGAAATCCACATGGAAAATGCGTTATTTCATTGGGTGCCTCTCTATTGAAGAGTTTTAGAACATGACATCTTATTTTGTAAGATAGATCTTGTGCATAATTTTCGTCTGTTGCGTTATAATTGTGATCGGAGGACGAATATATGGAACTTGAGTTTGTATTTTAAAACATGTAATACATTTTCGTTTCCGAAGCCCTAATCAGTGGGATTTTACCATTTGGATTTAGATTATGGTATGGTATTTTTAAACTTCACTTTGTTTGATGTCTAATGTCTTTCCAAAATGGGGTTTAACTTCCTTTTCCTTTTTGTTTCTCATGTTTTTATTGAAGTTTAAAATATTTATTTATTTACTATTTAAATTTATTTTTGTAGACCCATCATTTGCATTTGCATTTTTGTTTGATTAATTGATAAATATCTTTCGAAATATGTTCGTCATAATGCTGCCAACTTATAGGAAATAGAATATTCGTAACTATACCATAACAATAATTTAATTTGATTGTCCTTTTTTAAAAGAAATAATTTAATTGTCAATTCGAACATAATTAAGTGAATAAGACATCTTTCAAAATGTCAATAATTTAATATTTCATCAAAGTAAAAATAAATCTAAAACTAATTTCAAATTTACTCTAAACAAATATTGGTTTCTAAACTTTCATGAAAATAATAATTTAGTCTTGAAATATTAAATTAAAGGTCTGATTTATTAATTTTTGAAATAAATATATTAAATTTATTAAATATCTTAACCTAATAGATGTTCATCAAATCTTTACAATAAAAATAAATTCAATTATAACAAATAAATCATTGCATGCTGATTAAATTGTTCTAAAATTAAACATAGATAAATTAAATTGTTAATATCATAAAAGTTTGTTAATTTCATAAAAGTTCAAAACATAAAGATTTTAATACTTTTATGTCACATTTTTTACTGAATTTTCTATTTTATTTTAAAACACTATTGGTATCATTTACTTTACAAACATGAAGAACATATTTTAGTTTTTCTATAGGAGGTAATGGTAGGCATGACTTAAAAATCACAGGCTTGCTGCAAAGAAAATATTTTGTTAAAAAAAAAAAAAGCATAAATGTATCAATAATGTAATTTATTTTAGCATACGATAAACTTGATGAATAATATAAAGATTAAACATGCCCCTATTAGACGACTCTCCACAATAGTACGATATTATCCACTTTGAGCATGGCTCCCCAAAAGGCCTCTCCACAATAGTATGATATTATCCACTTTGAGCATAGCTCCCCAAGAGGCCTTATACTAATGGGGAGAGTATTCTTTGTTTATAAACCCATTAGCATGACTTTGCTTTGGGCTTCCCCAAAAGGCCTCCCCAAAAGGCCTCATACCAACCAATAGAGGGGGTATTCTTTGTTTATAAATCCATGATCATTCCTTGAATTAGCCGATGTGAGACTTTCATCATCCAATATCCCCACTCGATCAAAGCACGACTCCCCTTAATCGAGGCTCGACTCCTTTGGAGTCTTAGTCATTTTTTGACTGCCTTCATGGAGGATTGACTCCTTTTTCTTTTTGGAGTCCTTTGTTCGACATTTGAGGCTTTACCAATCTATTGGCACGACTAAATTTAGGGAATGACTCTGATACCATGTTAGACGAACATGACTCTCCACAAAGGTATGATATTGTCCACTTTGAGCATAAGCTCTCATGGCTTTGCTTTGGGCTTCCCCAAAAAGCCTCGTATCGATGGAGAGAGTATTCTTTGTTTATAAACCCATGATCATTCCCTAAATTAGCCGATGTGTGACTTTCATCATCCAACACCCTCTTCTCGTAAAATTTATGAAAATTATATTTGTAAATCTTTTTTTACTTGATTTCTACCGATGCTTCTAAAAGGGCAAAGCCTTGGACCTCTAAAATTCCTACCAGATTTCAGGATTTACGAGCATTTATGGAACTAAATCATGAACTAATTGAGCAATACATTGGTTTACGTTTTACACTGAGGAGAAAGAAAGTGCGTTCAATCTTAAAAAAACTCTCAGCAAAGCCCTAAAATAGATTACAAAGCACACTCATTCATCCACAGGTTGAATAAATAATAGCCTACAACATCAAAGCCTATAGTAAAGAAGGCAAACAACCGAAAGAGGAATAATAAGCTAACCAAAAACAAGGGAAGAAAAAAATGCTCTACAACTTTTAAACCTTTCAAAGTTAAGCAAACCTTGAATTAGTCGACAAATGGGGTGGAAAATTTGAAGACTTCGTCTAATCTAGCCAACGGGTAACTCCATCGTCACCTACGGTTGCGAGGACTTCAATGCGCACGTCCAAAAGTGCCTACAATTTTCGTTAAATAGCCAATACTATAGAGATGAGTGGAAGAAAGGGATTCATCTATAAAAGGAATGTTTATGCATCACATACTGCAAAAGGAACACTAGAAAGCTCATATTCAGACGCATGATACAACACCATGGCTTAGAAGGAGTTTGAGATGACTTTTAAGAATTGTACTTCTAAGAAAATGCTTGAAAACACTTCTTCAAAGCACTTTAAAATGTTGTTAGAATGCTATTCAAAGAGGCACAGGTAAATTAAACGGTATTCCTATAGCAATTGGGATTATGGATTTTAAGTTTATGGGGCTAGTATGGGATCTGTAGTAGGCGAGAAAATCACCCGTTTGATCGAGTATGCTACAAACCAACTTTTACCTCCTATTTTAGTGTGTGCTTCTGGAAGAGCACCCATACAAGAAGGAAGTGTGAGCTTGATGCAAATGGCAAAAATATCTTCCACTTTATATGATTATCAATCAAATAAAAAATTATTCGATGTAGCAATGGTGGGGTGACAGCTAGTTTTGAATTTTTTAAGTGCTTTTGATTAAAAGTGAAGCTATATTTCTCATAGTCTTAGGATCAACAAGATGAGCCATTTTATATACCATTTTATATAACTAAGTTCACTGATGTCATGGATGGAAAGATGGGACTCTTCTATTCAACAAATACAAAATACAGATGACCGTGTCGAACTAAGACAAATCAGGAACTAAAGCCACTCCCACAAGTATACCAAATAAGGTCTATAGAAAACTATATTCCCCTCTGGAGGGAAGAAGGCTAGAGATTTTAATTAGGAATAAACCTCTTTTTCTTTTTGTTGGGGGGAGATAGAGAAGAGAACAGAAAATAACTTTCATAAAATTACAGTCATGAATTAGAGACAACAGTACGCAATCAAGATTCAAGAAAGTACTACGAAAAGAACTTACCAGGGGGTTTCTACAATTGGCCAGCCTACATTCTTCCAGAGAGCCTTCTAGTGTCCAACTCTCCCAAACATCAAAACTGTGGCTAGCAAATACGAACTCTGTTCTACGATTTATCTGAAAAATGAAAGATCAAACTGAACCTTGAGATTTAGAGATGGTAAATTAAAAGAATTTGACCACAGCCAGATGGGTCTTGCTCAAATAGTTAAAAATAAAAAAATAAAAAAAAGAATTGATAAATGCTTCATCGAGGTGAAGAGAAAAGTCGCAATTAAAAGAGGACCACTTGAGCCAATAAAGGTTAAAAGAAAGAGATCCAGGCATGCATAATGAAAGAGGAATAATACAGAAACTTCAAGATTTATAACCTTCACAACAGGCTTAAAGATTCATGACCAAAAAACAAAATTTTCAACGCGAATAAGTAACTCAGCTCAACGTTATTATGCCAAAATGTTCCATTCTTAACGAGAATAAAATCATCTCTATAAAATGTGTGTTCATGAGGTGAGGGTGGGTATGCACGACACACAGAGTTCGAAGACCAATTGTATAAAATATGGTACAGCAAGCTTGTAGTCTTACCTGCAATAACTTCCCGCCAGCAGATAGAGATCGAAGACCAATTGTATCCTGAAAAATAGAGCATCATTTTATGATATCAGCTATCCAGTAGTACAACTATAGTCTTAAAAAAATGTTCGTTAACAAACCTTATTTCTGAAAACAACCATAAACTGGGCAGCAGGGTCTCTTTTTGTCACATCTGTCATGGTATCAAGAAACCAACCACCACCTTTAACTCGTTGCCGGGATACATGGAGTGCAGGATGATCTCTAGCATATATGGCTATAACATAGCCATCTTTCAGCTGATCAATAGACTTTCTAACTAATTTCTTGCTAGATTTATATGATGGATCTGAGGTAGATTCTTGCATAGTCTCCAAAGGAACTTTCCTGTTTCTTGATTCATCAGGGGAAGGAAATCGAGAACTTGAACTTAAAACTTGGTCTGTGCCACTCATAGCTGTATCATCTTCTCGATGAGAGGTACTTTCCTTTTCTAACATGAGATTATCGTCTACCTTCTGTTGAGATTTTTGACGTGTATGCCTTTTTTTGGCTTTCTTACCAGACCTACTGCGTCTTCCATCAGACCTGGTGACGGTAGTTTGTGACAAAGTGGAATTCTGGGGCTGACTGGATGACCCAGTGGAGAGATTCAACCCTTTCTTCTGGGAGTTCATTGGAGTTAAGTGGTTATCATCAGTCAACCGCTCAACAGCAGCAAGCTGAATGCTGACTTCTTTGCCTCGACCATCAGACTGTTCTTTTACTTCAGTAACTTCACTTTCATCTTC